AAATAAAAACATCAGAGCTAGTGATTTACGATGAACCACCAAAACTCTTGTCAAATTAAAATTCTTCTCACAAATACAAGAGTATTGTTCTCTAGATGTAAAATATACTTTTTTCCCAGAGTCTAAAAGAACATCAATTATACGACGGCCGTGTGTGGTTACGTTGTTTGAGAAAAGAGTAGTTCCAGACTTCTTACATCGAACTATCTAAAGAAAGAAGACGACGACGACTACTCCGTTAAGTTGTGGAGGAAGTCCACGACTCCGTTAATTGATGAATCTTAATGTTAATAATTTATCTTCTTAATTATTTTTATTATTGTACCTAAATACTATGATCATGGAATACATAGAAGATACATCAAATATTTGCGCATTGTGTTTTTTTTTTTTTTTTTTTTTTTGGTTTAAGGTTTAAGGTTCTATTTGTCTATTTACTGTAACTTGATAAATCGTTGTTCAAACAAAACGACAGCCCGATTATCAATGTTTAGTTTCCGTACCTAAATACTATGATCATGGATTTCAAAACGGATACTCCAATCTTCTTTGCATTTAGGGTTATCAAGTTAGGGATATTTATTGAATTAATTTTGTCAAGAGTCTAATTTTTATAACGACTTTAATATAGAATTATGGTAAAACGCTATAACTTTTGATATATATTATTAGTAATCAACAATTAATAGTGTTTTTGAATCACAAACAATTATTAGTGTTTATATCTTGATATATATAACAATGTTCCTTTCGGTAATATAAATTCACATTTTATCAAAAAAAAAAAACGGTGTCTAGTTCATACGTAGCTAATTAATATAATCATTTCATCAATCTCTTCTCCTGTCAAACGACCTTTATCGTTCGTTATTGTAAGTGACTGTGACATCTTTGGAACTTTGTCTTCGGTGTTCACTTGCAGAATCCCATTTGCGTCCACTTCGAAAGTCACCTCCATCTGTGGCACCCCCATGAAAAACTGTTCCTTGCGTCTTTAAAAAACCAAGAACCGAAATGGTTTAGTAGCCAATATTGAATTAGAGAGTTTACCTAGGTGCAGGAAGAAGGCCGGTGAGCTGGAAATTTCCGAGCTCGGGGTTATCTTTCGTCATGCTTATCTCTTCATAGACGTTGATAGTAACAATAGTTTGCTGATCTTGGTAAGTAGTGAACACCTGAGACTTCTTCGTTGGGATCCGAGGAATATGTTTGTCATCACGCCTCCGACAGTGTCAATACCGAGGTGCAAAGGCGCAACATCAAGTAGCAAAATATTTGTTTTCAATAAATTTAGGTTTTCTGCAACTCAAATACATGACTAACATGAAAACACTATAGATGGTCTAAACTATTGTCATAAAGAGAGTTAAAAAGAGTCACTTACTTTGCGTTTCTTCTCCACCTTCACCACTTAATACTCCACCTTGGACGGCGGTTGTATAGGCCAAAACCTCATCAGGGTTAGTTCCTTTGTTGGGTTCCTTGCCATCGAAGAAATCCTTTAACATCTACTGAACTTTTGGGATTCGAGTGCTTCCTCCAAATAAGAATCACAAAAGAAACCTTAGATACCCAAATGAAACAAATCCTAATATTTTTGGAGAATTTATTCATGAAATGATGTATGCTTGACTAAAAGGAGAAAAATACCACGTTTACAAACTTTTAAAGAGGGAAACATTGGAACCCTAATCTAAATCCATAATGAAAATATTAATTACCTATCCAACCGGTTCATAAAAACTTAGGATTTACACACATCCAACCTACTCTTTCGTATATCACCCGATGACATGTTTGCTAGAACATGGCGATGATCAACGAAACAACGAAGTGGACATATCCTTCAAAACAATAAAATTTAATATTAGATAATACCAGATCTAAAATATAACAAATAGACGACAACACAAATCCCACCAAAAGAAGATCGTGGAGATTCATATCCAGGCTGATCCATGGTGTCTTCCAGCACCGGAGGAACACCAGCATACGAACTTGACATCAAAGTGAACAGCTTCAAAATAACCTGGTCACCGGATTTCACATCCTCTAAATTATTTCCAAAACTTTAATTCTTCAAATAAAAATCCATTGGTTATCATATACATCATAAAATCTTCTAATTTCTTACCTAATATACGTACCTTTGCTTCTTAATTATCAATACCTTTTTGAGAAATCCCAAAGATCCTTGACCAAAACAAAAGAGACAATTTTTCTGAAAACCGAATAGGTGAGACAAAAAACCTTAGAAAACAGAAGCAGTTAACATATATAAGAGAAAATCAAAGAAGCTTTTTATTTTATTTTATACCTTTTCCGTTGCTTCCTTCCTCTACAACTTAAAAACAAAATTTAACCCACTTTATTATATAATTAACTCACTTGAACATGGATAATGGAACCGTGATTTGAAGATGAAGAGAGAAAAGGGAGACTTGATAAGAGCTATTGGTGTAGCTATAATCGCTAGATGGTACTCCTCCTGAGGTTAAAAAAAAAAAAAAAGAATTCGACTCACATGTTATATGTGTGAGATATATAGAGATAAGAGACTCATACAGTTTAGGAACGCAACAGTACGAAACAACTTGTTAAAAAACAAACAACAAAGATAGAAAAAATGAATCGAAATAATATCAGTTTTGATTCTACCTACATGGTTCCTTCTTCTTTTCCTATAAGCCTTCTCTGATCAATATATCCTTTTCTTTCTCTTTTGATTCTTTTCACGCTTCCTTCTTCTCCTTGTCTCA